GTTTTGACCTGGATGTATGCAGACTCTACACATATCCTGTCTCCTACTCTATGCAGCAGAAAATAATTCCCTAGTAATATTATTATTATTATATTAATGTTATCATTTATGGTTGTCTATCGAGCATGATGCACAGTGTAAAATTATTTCCTTTTACAAATAAGAAAATTAATAACTAGAGACTTTAAATAATTGAAGATCAAACAACAGGCAGTGTCAGACCTGAAATGCAGACTCCAGAGCTCTGCCTTATTTACCACGAGAGGTCTCATAAATTTGGAGCTAGTAGATGAACTGCAAGGTTGAGAGGAAGCACCTCATCTTCAAAGACGTAGAGGAGAATCCGGTTCTCAGAAGGTGAAAGCAATGACATTATTATCCCAGTTGTTCATAGATATGCTGAGGAAAGAACAGAAGAAATCTATTTCGTGGAGAAGTGATAGAAAGAAGCTCTTCCTCTCTACCGCGGGAGCCCAGCGCCGAGGATGAGGAGCCACACAAGAGGGAAATGTATAAGAAATGCTTTTGGAGTCATTTTCTTGGAATATGAATAAAGTCACATCCAAATACATTCAACCTTCTGAGAAATTTTCCCGCCCATCAAATAAGTGAGATTTAAAAAAAAGAACAAGGGGGGAGTCTTGGCTCATCAGAAGCTGGCAGCTTCCAGGTTAAATCTGATCTGAGGCCTCGCCATTGGCCCCCTGCTGCATCTAGGCTGCAGCATCAAACACTGTTCTGGGCTCCGCATTCCCGGGCTTTATTGTTTAACCATCCATGAGACCAGAATCAGATGTTACTGTCATAATTTACCAGGTGGGGATTCACCAGACCAGAGTGAAGCTAAGTAGGTCCATGTTTCATTTCAACTATCTAAAGTTGGGAATTTTTTTTTTTTTTAAGTAATAAAATCGTGAGATTGTGTCTGTCTTGTATCACTAATGTTATTTGTAGATCTTTTCAGTGGGTTGTTTTGAGTTTAAGTTAAAAGGTGGAATTTCACTTGTATTTAATAGTGAAAAGATTCTCTTTGCTCCATGTAATTAAACAAAAAGTGAAGCCATAGTAAACATCATAACATGCTTGGCCCAGAGATAGAAAATTGTCCCCTTTTCAGGTTGATGTAAATAGGAAGGAGAAGTGTTGTTCTTTTATCACTTAAGAGCTTCTGGGGAAGGTTCGTGAAAGTACATTTATATCACTATTTACACAATGATTAACTTCTCACACAGTTCTCAAATAACAGGTTTAAATATTTTTCATTCTAATATGGAAGGACAAACATTGTTGACCTGCATTTCCTCTTCAGTTCCCTTTGGATGCGCATCATAAAAGTATCAGGGGAGAGATGGCCGAGTCTCTAGTTATTACATGCACTGAAATGGGGATACCTTCAGCCTGTGAGTGAGAGATCAAATAATGACTCCACTCCCAGAAGCCGTGGTGCTTCTCCAGCTGCTTTGAAAATGCGTCTCAGTGCTGAGCCAAACCAATCAGTAGCCAGAGTTTGGTTCTTCGGGTTCTGGTTTTGTCCACTGTCAGTGGTTTGCACGGACTCCTTTATGCTCTGTGTAGAGGTCGCTCATCAGAGCCCAGATTTTCCTTAACCAGATTCACCAAAGCAACCTGCAGTCTGGTTTCATCTCCTTGGAGGCCAGAAAGGCATGTAGCTTCTCATTTGCTTGATTTTCTACTTTCAGAATGAGGGCTTGCCCTGCCCCAAGAAATGGAGAGAGCAGTTCTCCCCGCTGCCGCTGAGATCAGTGTATTAAAGCAGATGTTGAAGGATGAAATGTCATAACAGAGAAGCATCTTAATCTTTGTGATATTGTGTTCACCTTTGTAAGAATGTGATACTCTCTAAGAAATTTGCAAACCTAAGTAGAGATGATTTTATATGGCTTACTATTTCCTTAAACTATATGTCAATACAAGGACTTTCCAAAAAAAATGATCACGTTACTTGATTCTGATGCCTGTGCTGAGCAGAAAGGAATGGCCTTCTCCTTCTTCGGTTATAGCAGGGGTCAACACACTGCGGCTCCCGAGGGGAGGCTGGCCCACTGCCTGTTTTATAAATACATTTTATTGGAACACAGCCATGCCCATTCATTTACACGGTGTCGATGACTGCTTTCCTGCTCCAAAGATAGAGTGGGCAGGACAGAAAGCCTGAAAGGCCCGACTCTTTGGCCCCTTCCAGAAAACATTTGCCAACTTCTGGAGATCAGCATCGTGTTAGAGTCATGGGTCTTCTCTCTTACTAGCTGTGGGTGCTGCAGACAAGTTATTTGACTCCTATAAGCTTTAATTTCCTCCATTAAGAAGTAGAAGATACCAAGGATTATATATTTAAATCAGATAATACATTTAAAGCCAGTACTGTCCTTATCCTCGGCCTACAAATATTGTGGACAGGCCCATGCAACGCTCTGAGGGCGGTGCCGTGGCCGATAGGAAGGAGCCAGTATAAATGGATGGATGTGTAAAATAGCTCATTACTTTTGTCGTTGTTATCTTCGTTATTCTTGTCTTCTGCCATTTTGTGGCCATAGCTTGCAGACCCCGTGTGGAGATCCCAATGTCCTCTTCTTCCACTGCTTTGCCACATGGCAGCTCTGTTTCCTACAAGGAGCCAGAAAACGAGTACTAAAATTTTGTGAATGGCGTGGTTAGGAGGGAAGTAGGTGAAGCTGTGTGGTTAGGTGTGAGGAACGCAAGGATCAGCTGGTCAAGTCAAAAGTCAGACAAGCAGGAGAGCATATGGAGCGTGAGTCTGGAATCTGAAACGCGTGGGTTTGTGTCTTCGCCCTCCTATACCGGCTGTGTGACCGAATTCAGGAAATCAGTTCACCTTTCTCCTCGTCAGCGGCCTTAGGCTTAAACACCGCTCACAGTGAGTGACCCACAGGGACGCGAGGATGGGCTGGACTCTTACACGGAACGTCCTTGGCCCATGAGATGCGCTCAGCAAACATTAGTTCTTCATGGCGCTGCCGTATGAAGGCAGGAGCAAGAAGACAGTGAGAACTGTGGGTGCCTGCACGGGGTACACACATTTCAGGACTTTGGTCCCGTGTCGCCATTCCTGACCATGTTAAAATCTCAACTTCCTCCCCACCCCGGACTTCCTCTTCCTCTTTGCTTGATAGATTGTTACCCATGTAACATATCCTGCTGTGGGGCACACTCTGTGTTTTATTTGCTTATTGGCTGTTTGTCCCCACCCATGTGGGTTCCACGAGGACAGGAATTATTGTCTGTTTTGTCCACTGATATGATCTCGGTGGCAGGACACAGTTGGGGGTTTATTAAATATCTGTTGAATGGAAGAACAGCGCCCAGAAGGCTTTCGTGTGGCCAGAGATGCACCCTGCTACATTAGAGCTGGGATCTGGATGAGGCTGGAGAAGCAAATGGCAAGCATCCTCATGAACTCGAGCAGTCATGGTGGCCTATAATGCATCGGCATGGCTGGTTTTAGAGACTGAGAGACGTTTAGAAACTCTTGAAACCTTTAAGGCCCAACATGAATTGTGGACGTGGGAAGAGGTTTTGGGTTTTTATTAGTGACGCTACGGTCTAGCATGTTCAAGGTTTCTGCACAGTGCTTATGGCAATCAAATCCAGCCTCCTTAGCTCGAATCTAGCAAGTGGGGTGGTGACTCCCTTTGTTTGGCCTAACAGTGAATCCTCAAAGCTTAGGGAGCTGGACCAACCGACTGAGGGGATTTGAAGTATGGGATTGGAGCTCAAACTTGAACTGATTCCCAGCATCTCCATGTCAGAAACCTCAAATTCTTCTCTTGTTTTTCTACCCTTGATACCATAGACATTTAGAAAAGTGAACAGAAGTGGAGAGTTTTTTTTTTTTAAAGGAGATATGTTTAGAAATGAGACTATTTAAAAGTGTTTTCCTTTACAAAACCAATCTGCCCCAGTAGACTGGAGTTCTTTGAGGGCAGCACCTGTGGTTCATTCATAATTGCATTCTTAATGCCCACTATATTGCCAGTCACATATAGAGAGAGAATGAATAAATAATTGAACAAGTAAATGGGCTATATTAATTTTGGGCTTCTTATGGCACCTAATGTCTAACTGATATAGGATTTCTTTACACAAGCTGGCTTCATTCTTAAAATAGTCCGTAATAATTTGTAGTCTATTATCCAGGGAAAGAAGTGGGTCTTAACTGAAATGTACATGGCAGTGATGGATACAAATTAAATGTTTGTGGTTTTCTGAGGCCAGTCGACTGCATAGATGGTGTGCAGGACCACATTCCAGCCAAAGGTTTTTAAAGCTGTGCTGTCGACTCGCCACTCAGATAACATGAGAGATTCTTCATGTCTATTTAGAAAGCTGAGCCAGAGTCAGCAAGAAAATCCTATCAATACGGTTTGTCTGTGATGGGCTCCAAGCCGCAATGCTCAGGAGCTGGCCTGTGGATGAGATGATTTTCCTTCCATATAAGGACTTTGACCAGAGTGGGAACATACCAGGCGGCACATCCCTAGAGACAGACTGCCAGTGCTCCTTGGTGACCAGCATCCCTCCCAGGCGCTGATAGGGAGCTCTTGGGGGGACTGGCTCTCACAAAGCCACGATGTCACCCGCTGCGACACAGTCTAGATTTAGACTCGTGGTGCCAATATGGTTATACGATGTCAGTGACAAAAGACAGCAAGAGTCAGAGGGTCTGTTCACAACCCAAGAACACACAAAAGGGACGTCTGCTGATGCTGCTGAAATCCAGGGCAGTTTGAGCCTAAACAATGAACCTGTTATTCTCCACACTAATGCCAGAGGGCTAGCAATGTGCTGGAATAGTGCATCAGAGAACCAACATGTAAATACTGTGTAAGATGGGGGAGTTTATATTTGCTTCTCTGTCATGGGGCAAGTTTTATTTGAAAGTTAGTTATATGGGACCAAATACTCAGGGGGACTCCACTGCACCCCTGAAGTAATCCTGCCTCTCTCCCTCTATTTCCCAGCATGGGCTACTGCATCCTTTTTGTGCACGGATTGAGGAAGCTCTGCACTTGGCTGAATCGATGTGGGGCCACCATGCTGACCGTGTGCACTGTGCTGCTATTATTGCTTTTCTCCTGGAAAACTGTGAAGCAGAATGAAATTTGGCTGTCAAGAGAGTCCCTGTTCAGGTACGATTAGATGGAGAAAAGCAAATCTCTTCCTATGCATTTCTTTGCTTACATATTTGTTTCCAAACAAATGAGATAACATGGGTCTGGCAATAATCATTAACCCACGGGTTTTTTTTTTTTTTTTGTAAAGTTTTAAGTGGGAGATGTAATTTTATTTGAGATTTTAGCTTTAGTCTTTTAAATGGTATTCAATAACGTTTAATGTGAGCTCATTCTAAGTGAATTTATGAAAATAAGGTTCATGGGAAGGTTTCTGGGTCTGCAGAACCATCGTAATGACGAGCTGGGCTGTAAAATCAGCTATAAACAAAATGAAATGATAAGCCTAACTTCATTACGCAGACAAGACAATGAGAAAGGTGAGCACCCAGCAGGAAGGAAGAGAAACACAGAACATTTTCTTTAGACTCTTCTAGGACATTAAGTTGTGATCTGTGATCTCGTTGCTTTATTCTGAACATTAATTGTGAACAAAGAAATGGAAGACTTTTCTCATCTCCTGGTAGGTTTTTGTGTGGTATAGAAGCTGTTTCTGAATATAACAAGGTCACCTGAAAGCCCTAAACTTGTCGTCAAGTATAAACATTCTTCGGGACTGTTGCTCGTCGTGCAGTGTTTTCTGGACCTTAGGGCGCCTCACTAATGCCGTAGCCCTAATGATGACCTTCACCTGGGCTCCCTGGCACTGCCCCACTGGGATCCCAACAGTATTTTTCCAGGGATTCCCAGTCTCTGCCCTCTCCCAGCTTCTGTCCTCACTTATGACCCAGTTACCCATTTCAGTCAGTGTGGTTTTTACTTGGTTCTCTGCTCAGCTGATACCCAACACTTATGCTCTGGGAGCAAACAATGGAAACAGAGTTGGGATCGCTTGGGAAAAAAGGGGAAAATATTGGAAGAGTAGAGGAAGGTGCACAGAATTGAAGGGCCACTATAGAAGTTGGCACGGAGCGGACAGGAAAACAGGCTTCGGGATAGTCTGTCTTGAGAGCACTTGAGTGCCCACCCAGGAACAAATACGTAAACTTACACGAGGTATTTTTTTATCTTCACATCAAAGCCCTGGGAAAATTAAGTCCTCTGGCTGAGCTTGCGCTGTATATCACGTGCCTGCCCTTTGTTTCCACCAGGGCACTAGAATGAGTGAAGCCCCTCTGACTTCCAGGGAGTTAGGGCAGGCCAAGCACCTTGGGGTTCCACTGAGACTTCACAGAGTGAGGCAAGAGTGAATTTCCCACAGGAAATCCAAGTACTGGAGAAGGGGCACAGGCTCTAGCTGCCAAGAACGAATGAACGAATGAATGAATGAATGATTGAATGAACAAATGAACAAATAAGATAAATGTTCACTGTACTCTTCTACTAGCTTAAAATAATATATTTGATTTTGCTACCTGGCAATTTAACTTTTTTCTTAATAGAAAAAATTAGTTTGGTATGCATGTCTTTTTTTTCCCCAATATTTTATTTATTTACTTGAGAGAGAGAGAGAGAGAGAATGCCCGCACCCACGAGCAGGGGGAGAGGAAGAAGCAGACTCCCTGCTGAGCAGGGAGCCTGATGCAGGGCTTGATCCCAGGACCCCAGGATCATGACCTGAGTTGAAGGCAGCTGCTTAACCGACTGAGCCACCCAGGCGCCCCTGGCACGCATGTCTTATTAGCTTATTTATTATTACTATATCATTGTCATAGTCATCATCATTACCACAGTGGGTACTGTAGAGACCTGGTGATTTTTTTATGAATATTTTTTCACCTTAAGGTCGCAGATTCTGTTCACTCTCTGTCACATCCCTTTACCTTCAAGGCAGTTCTCCCAGACCACAGTGGACTTGTTCCCTCTTGCTAACCATGCTGAGGTCATTCTATAAACAGAGGGGCATGGAATACTCCTGTGTTTACAGAATACAACTTCCCCTTAGTCTCTGTTGGCTTGAATTTTTTTTTCTTTTTCTTTCAGCAGTCAGTGCTTTTATGAGAGACCTTAAAATTGTTCCGCCCTGTATTAAGCCCTTTGCTTGAATCAAGGTACTAACAGAGGCTGGGTCTTCTAATGATGTTTACTGCTTAATCAGAGCCACTTTGGGGGTGGATTTTGGCAGGCAGCAGTTTATTTCAAGGATAACAAGTTCATGTTCAAACCCTCTAAGGCTGATGCCAGTTTAAAACAGATAAACAAAAGGCTCATTGACCTTGCATCCAGAGGCTTCTGGTTTTTTTAGATGAAAGTGTGTAGTAAGTGACAGCTGATTACTAAAACACAGCCATTCTACATATGTGCTTGAAGAGGTTTTGTGCTCTAGGAGGCCTTTGGTGATCAAATGGAATTTTGTAAAACGTGCAAATCAAAGCTTTTGATAGTTTTTAGAAAACTTTGCCTATTACAATTTATGTATGTCCCAAGAAAAGTTTTAAGCATCTGAGACTTTAAGAATATTCTTTATTCTCTAAGACCAGATGTTTGCATGTATTCATTGGTGCTGAGTCATGCTCGAATCAGTTGAAACGAACATTTACCAAGAATCGTTGAAGGAAGATAGAGTTACTGATTGAGTATGGGGACTGCAGTTAGACTTTCTGGCTCCTCTCCGAGTACCACCATTTCATAGCTGTGTGACCTTGGGCAAGGTACCTAACCACTCCATGCCTTAGTTTCTTTATTTTGAAACTTAACAGAATAATAATAATGTTTCTATTTGGGGTGTAGTGTAAGAATAAATGAGTATGTGAAAGATGCATAAGGTGGTAAATTATTGCTGTGCACTATGTTCTAGGGTATGAGAGAGAGGTGGTGGGAGGCGGGAAGGGGGAGAGAGAGATTATCTGTAGATGAGCTGAAAGTCTGCACGGGGGTCAGACACGTAAACACATTTTAACATAACGTAGCAGGTGGTAGACAGAGGCAGCAGGACACTGTGTAAGTACAAGCAGGCTGCTAAGAACAACCCAGGCCTTCAAGAACTGTTCTCTTACAGACCTGAGCTGCGTACAGAAAGATGAAAACAACCTAAATTAGCCACAGTGATCAAAACCAAGAACTGGCTGATTTGAGTAAGAAAAATTGGTTATAATTCTAGATAAGGTGATGCCCCTGACAGGGGCATCTGGCTTCTCCTCTGTTCTAAACAACGAACTCACTGACCGTTCCCTGGACATAGGGTCTCATTAAGGCCTCTCTTATTACACGGGGTGGTTTTGCTTGGCAGTACTATGAACAGTCTTAAGAGTATCTTAGGACAGACCTTTGTGTTGGAGAAAATCCAAATTTCCGTCAAGGCCCAGCCTTTCCAGCCAAGGCGTCCTCTTACAAAAAAGATCCCACCGTGTGATGTATTTTTAGGAGGTACAGATGCAGGGCCCCCTCACAGCTTTGTAGTGCCACAGGCAAGAACCTTACACACAGCCTAAGAAGCCACACTTGTGTCTTATCAGAGGCCTGGAGAGAGTAATTGGTCCAAGCTGAACTAGCTGTGAAGGGGAGAAGCCAGGCTTTGAACCCAGATTTGATATAAAAGAATACATAAGCTTTGCTATGCTGATTTTTTACTTTGTTTTCTAAAACTAAGCCCAGTATATAAAAAAAGAGGGGGAGAGAGCGAGAGGGAGGGGTTGGTTCCTAATCATAGCGGCAAGCTATATTTTCTTTAATTCTTTATAAGGAACTGTTCTGATAGCCTAACCTGGGAAGGGGGTCACTGCACAGCTCCAGCTGGGCCTGGTAACAGCCCCGAATTTTGCATTTGTTTGGAGTAAGTAATACTGTAATAACACATTTTGGTAAAATCCCCTCTACGCCCCAAATCTTCGAAATACCTGAAAAGGCAGAGAGCACATTTTTCTTTTATTGGCATCTAGTTAAGGGTCTCTCTGAAACCCATTCATGAACCATTTAAGTGATCCACGGACCATCAGTTAAGAATTTCTGGCCTAGATTATTCTCCATTTCTGTAGGGAACACATTTCTGTTTCTTCCTTTCTGAATTGCTAAGCCAGAGAGATCAGCCAACCTCCTGGGGCAGAGAATATATACTGAGGATTGGCAAATTCTTTTGTAAAGGAGTGGATGGTAAATATTTTAGTCTTTGTGGGCCATATAGTGTCTTTTTGCAACGACTCAACCCTGCTGTTGTCTCGGGAACGATGCCAAAGATAATAGGTAAACATATTGGCGCGCCTGTGGCCCACAAGGCCATAGTTTGCTTAGCAACGAGATAAACATTGTGATAGTGAAATTATAATGTTACTCTGTCCTGTGGTACCTTTCTGGTTTAGCGTCACGTGTTGATCAGCTTCAGGAATGGTTCTGCCCACGTATTGGCCTTGGTTGAAATCTCTGCTCTGCTACTTTTCTCGGTCTGTAAACTTTAGAGAAAGGTCTTCATCTCTCTGAACTTTAGTGTTCTCATCTGTAGTGTGGGAGGTACCATAATTCTACCCATCAGGTAGGTTACTGAAGGGATAAAAGGAGATGATCCAGGGAAATGAGTGCTTAGCCCGGAACTTGATTCAAGCTGAGCATTTCGTCCCGTACTAGGCATTCTGAATGTGGCATTGTGCACCCTCAGGTCACAGCAGGGTCAACGTTGAAGAGAATCACAAATCTTTCCTTTCCTGTTAACCTCTGGCTGAACACCGCTCATTATTATTGTTTTCTCATCAGGAATTCGGGGATGGTTCTCGTGACCAATTGTCCAGCAATGCCAACAAAACAAATTGATGTTCTATAAGCTTGGAAATATATCTGAGAGAAGCGGCTTTTGAGTCATTTCTGTTATTTTTCAAGTGTTGTACCAATGAGAGCTGTGAGGGAGAAACGTGAGGTACATGAATGAAGATCCTGAGCTGAAAGGAGATTTTTCTTTGTAATCAGCATTGGGATTATGAATGGGGATTGAGCTCCAACTGCGTACTTAATGAATACTACGTGTCTTTGTAGAGTAAATATATGTAAGCTGCCCGTTTCCACCGAAACGACTGGGCTACGAAACAAAAGGAGGGGACTGGCTCTGGAAGCAGAAGCCGCCTGGCCAGTTACAGCTATGTGGAAACTTTTGCCTTTGGCCAGTTGCTTATTTCCCCTTTTCCACAAACAACTCATTGTAAAATGAGAGACTGGAAAAACATAGCAGCAAAATACCACAGAGAGAACATAAAGGTCAAAAACAACAATGGAAAAACCAGTGTGCTCTTCGGATTCCAGGGACCCCACCCACATCTGCTTGCCTGTTACAAATATCATTACTTCCTCTGGCCATCCCTGAACAATGCCCCGATCCTCGAAAGGACCATGTTTCCACAGGCCTAATTGTCTGTTCCTCGGGTGATACATAAATTAGAGTCACCATGTTAATCACACAGAGGGAGGGATCAATTCCAATATGCCAGTTACGTCCATGCTGACATCAAAGTTACCTTTAAAATCTGCCTTGTACCATGCACTACTTATTTCTGGATAGAAAAATCAGAAATTTTCCTGGGTAGACATTGGAATGTTTTTTAAGCCGTTACTAGCACTCTGACCCAGACTCTTCCCCGGTGACTCAGTTCACTTTGCATACTATCCATTTTAAATATTCCATTAAAATCCTGGCTCTCTGTGGCAGCTGTAGGGTCTCACCATAGAGTAACTGAAGGATACCGAGCGTTTCACGGGAACACCCAAATGTCAGCCTTTGTCAGTCTTTTGTCTTGGGTGTGTACGTTTCTACTGAGACGATTTCTCCTGTCTCGTCCCTGGGGGTCCAATCCTGGCTGCCAATATTCAGAGAGCTTTGTAAGAGGGGAAACTGGGATCCCAGTGTTCAGAATGCAGATCTTCACCTAATCTACCTTTGAGGTACCACCCTTCCCCCTTCCCCCCGTGGTACCTGTCATTCCCGAGTACAGGATCTCTCTAGCTCAGCTTTTCCAGAGAGTAAAACTCCTGTCTTCTGCTGGAATGGGGAAGGAATAATGAAAAAAGTCACTTGGGTGTGCAGGGTCAGGATGGCGATCTGGGCTTTAACTGCTCCTGAGACAGATTGAGTCTGTGTTCAGCCACACCCCAACCACCATGAAATCCTAGCCACCTGCCCTACCTTTGCAGGCACCGAAGCAGCCTGCCTAAGTTTGGGTCCGCTGCCTTCAGATGATGCTGCCCTTGGGTCAGTCTCTAGCCTTTTGCACTCCCTGTAAGTTCTGTCCTCTGGAGAGTTCCTCAGGTGGCCAGCCAGTGGGTTTTAAGATGGGACTATCTTTGCTGGTCCTAAGGAACTGGTTATTTTAGGGAAGGTTCAACAAAGATCCCAAAGCCCTTACATATTTCCCCAAGAGATCTTTAACATTTTGTATGAAACCCTTCTATTGATCTTACCTTTAAAAACTAAATGAAAGTATGTTACCTGGGGGAGGTAGTCGTGCGTTAGAGTTGCCCTGAAGGTAGGTTGTCCTGCTTTTCTCCTTGCTCTCTCTCATCGGCTGTCCCCCTCCCACATTTCATCCATGCACGGTCTGGGAGTTTTCTTTCCAAGTGGCCCTCCAGCCCGTCTTCTTCCATCATTCTCCTGCCACCACCTGCCTGCACGTTGAGGGAACGAGGGACTCTAGAACCCAAGCTAGAATCCTCTAGAATCCCACCTCTTCCACTGACCAGCTGTATAATCTTGTGCCGGTTAAACATGTGGGCTAGTTATAAACGAGAAACAGATCCTCTCCTGCCCCCACCTGCCCCTGGAATCATCTTCAAAGCTTCACGGCTATCCTGTAGGGATGCCCCCAGGCATTTCCTTATGGCAGCCCAAGCAGACTAACACAGTGGCCATGGAAGCAGGGTTTTTACCTTTTTGAGCAAAATCCCACTTCCTTATCTGCAACTTGTAAAATAATTATACTTGCATTTATTTATTTATTTATTTATTTTTAATCAGCCCAGGCTTGGGTACATGGGAAATGTTAATTTCCAATAAAACTTAATAGGGAGGCCAGTCTGCAGTCATCCCTCTTGTCATGATTTATTTTTGTAGATGCTCTCAACTTTTTTTTGTTTTTTAAGGAAGGTTATAGGTGCACAAAAGAAGCAAGGAAGGAAAAAAACTGAATGAACCTGAGCATGCAGGTTTGTTCTGCAGAGAATAATCTATCACCCCGTGCCGCCACCTCTGCTTCCTATCCGGTTAGCATGTTTGTTTAGTTGTGCATACCACCCACTGCCTTCATTGTTTTCCACAGAAGCATGTTTAGTAAGTCACATAATTCATAAATTCTGAAAACCTGACTTAGATGGATATAACGGACATTCCGAATGCAGGTTCATGAAACTTGAGTAAAATATGAAAGAAACCAGTGATGCTCCTAAATATAGTTCTTTTTTGCTCTTTTTTCTTTTCTGTAAATGTATTAATTGTAGGTCTGGAGTTCAAACCCTGCCCCACAATGCCAAGGTTCACTACAACTACGCCAATTTCCTGAAGGACCAGGGTCGGACCCGGGAAGCGATCTACCACTACAGAACGGCCCTCAGGTAAGCAGTGCACAATTGTCCGCCGCTGTGCTTCTCAGGCCCTTGTTCATTCACTTGCCCTCCCGGTGTGCGCTGGGCAGACAGTGGACATCTCCTTGGAGGTGTAAGGATCCTGGACTCTCCATCTTTTGGCTCAGTGTTCAAGTCTGTTGTGAATGTGGTAATTCTGCCTTGCTTCCAATTCTTGGTGTTTTCCTGCAAAAGTTTCCATTGCTACCCACTACTCAGTGAAGTGATGCTCGGTCGAATACACACATGCAGGCAAACAAGAGTTGGGTATTCCAATGAATGCTTCCCACTTTAGGCTTCCCATCGACAGAAAGGATTTATATGAAGATATCTGAGTATAGAAATGAAATACCCTGATAGTTGTATGAAATAGATGGGAAACTAAAAGACACTTGGGAATATGCTAGTAAGGGGTACGCATGCCTCTGTGTGTGTGTGTGTGTGTGTGTGTATGTGCTTATATATATGAACAGCCCTGACACTCTCCTTGTACTCCTCTCCTTGTATTCGTTTGGAAGAGACTGTACAAAACATAGCTTTAAGTTGTCACTTTAAGAGAAACCACAAAATCAAGCCTGCATTACCAGCGGCAGACTGCTCTTGAGTATTCAAAATTGCAACTCTTACTTTCAAGATGGTCTTATCTAAAAGATTCCATAGGATGAATGTCTTTAACCTGCAAACATGTGGGCACGAGAACTATACATAGCCTCAGAGTCTCCAAATGTGGGCAAAACAAAGAAACATGAGTCTTCTCTTTTATTGTACTATGAGGCTCACAGAAGCTTTTTAAAGAGGTTTCCATGCCCCTAGAGATTGGCCCACATTTGGCTGAATTTTCTGATACTGTTCTGCTTTGGGACATGTTAAAGTATGTATACTGAGGCGCCTGGGTGGCTCAGTCATTAAGCGTCTGCCTTCAGCTCAGGTCATGATCCCAGAGTCCTAGGATCGAGCCCCGCATCGGGCTCCCTGCTGGCAGGAAGCCTGCTTCTTCCTCTCCTACTCCCTCTGCATTCTCTCTCTCTGTCAAATAAATAAAATAAAATCTTTAAAAAAAAAATGAGAAATTTGACCAGGAAAAAATTAATAAAATATATATACTGAACACATCTACATTTCCCTCAAGCACATACGAGGATTATCTCAAAGCTTAGTTTGAAATCATCAGTCTTAAAGTAACTGACCTGATTTTTAAAATTATCCTTTGAACAATGTTCACGTAGGTATATTGTTCATAAATCAAATTCTTTTAGACTTTAGGCTCTCTTAGGTAATATTCAATATGGCCAAAATTTTAAGCTGTGCACATCAAGTTCACTGTCAAATACTTTTCCAAAGATACAAGAAATGCAAGTCCCAGAGGAAAATTGTAACAAAACTTTTTATTGGGGAAAAGAAGTTTTTATTAAGGAAGAGAAGATCATTTTTAAGATTTAATAATTATATTCTTTCCCTGGAAGCCAATTTACCCAAATGTTTATAGTACATATCTCTAGTTGGTGAGATTATGGTTTAATTTTTTTCTCTGTACTTTATTTTGTGTTCCAGATGTTCTACAGTGAACATGTATTATTTCGCAATGTCATTTTTAAAGAGGCATATATTCCTTCAAGGGTACAAATAAAGTATGTTTTGGCATAATGATTAATTAATGTTTCAGGGTTTTAGATGGCATTCTTGAAGAGAAGAGAGCAGTAAATTTGCCTGAAAAATAGTGGTTGAAAGGAAGTATTATCAATATCCTTTAAAATTTATTGCATTCTAACAGACTGTTTTCTGTCAAGTTCAAGCAGAAAAAATAAGGCAGACCCTAAGGCACACCTTGGGGCAAAGATATAAATTATATAAAAATTCTCCAGTAGCTGATTTTACAGAATTATAGTAGCTGGTTGGGTACTACCGCTTTTTTCCCGTGAAACAATAAAAATAAATGTTTGCTTCAGCAACTGTGCTTCTGGAAGAAACACATCCCTTGAGAAGTGGGGAAAAAAACAATTAAAGCTATAAATACACTGCATAGTAATTAGGGAAATATTTCATCCTCTCAGACCAGGCTCAAAATACTTCTGATTTAAGTAGCATCATTTCTGTGTGGATACCTCTGTGGTGAATTTTCAATGGGTGTGGGTGTTTTGTTCTGCTTTTTAATTTAAATTGTCACTCCTTGTGTTAGAGAGAAAAGGAAAATACCAGGACTGTTCATCATTTTGATGATTATTCATCCTAGGTGACTGGAAGGTGGCCCTTATTTTTTAAATTTAATTTAATTTAGTTTTTTTGGAGAGAGAGCATGCACACAAGCGGCAGAGGGGGAGGAACAGAGAGAGAGAGAATCTCAATCAGATTCCATGCTCAGTGTGGAGCCCAACATGGGGCTCAAACTCATGACCCTGAGATCATGACCTGAGCTGAAATCAAGAGGCGGATACTAAACCGACTGAGCCACCCAGGCGTGCTAGACTGCCCCTATTTTGCTATTGCTCTTTCTTTGCTGAAGTTGCTGAGACAGGGATTCTACCCTCTCCCAACTACCTTATCTCTATTTCAACTTCAGTATATTTAATATTTTCCATATTTGCACACAGCAAGAAAGAAAATGATTAGGGAAATGCAGGGCTAACGGTGCTATTATCTGAAACCAGTCCCGACAATTATCCATTTCTGTCGTAATGACTATGTAGATCCCAAAGGCAATGATGAAATTAGTCATTAGGGTTTTATCTATACCAATATCATTTTGTCTGGCTTACAATTCTAGAAATTATGCTACATTAAATTGGTAATTATATATGACAGGAATATTCTGCTTCTTTTAAACCTTCTATGTTTTTTTAAAGATTTATTTATTTATTTCAGAGAGGGAGTTGGGGGGCGCAGAGCAGAGGCAGAGGGAGAGAAAAAATGTTGGAGCAGACTCTCTGTCGAGTAGGGAGCCCAATGCAGGGCTTAATCCCAGGACCCTGAGATCACGACCTGAGCCGAAATCAAGAGCCGGCCGCATAACCAACTGAACCACCCAGGCGCCGCAACCTTATTTTGTTTATTTTATTTTTTAAACAAGATGGAAGTATACTAACTTCTCCTCCGTTTCGGTGTACCTCATTTATTCTGTTGCTGTAGTGCAAGGGAAATCTCCCCTGGAAAATGCTGCAGCTGAAGTTTCAGGTTCAGATTAAGACCCAAATCAGCAAAGGAAAATGGCAGAACTCTTAAATCCTTAATGAACACAAGTGTTAGCTTTGCTTTGCTGGGAGGGGCAGCTGTGATGTTTATACCTGTTCCAGGTTCTATTAAGTTTGGGATTCTAATTGGTTCAGAATCAGGACACCACTGGTAGATCTGCCATATGCCTCCAAAGCTTTCTGGTCATTGTTTAAAACCTGGAAAAGTGGGGCACCTGGGTGGCTCAGTTGGTTAGGCGACTGCCTTTGGCTCAGGTCATGATCCTGGAGTCCTGGGATCGAGTCCCACATTGGACTCCCTGCTCAGCGGGGAGCCTTCTTCTCCCTCTGACCCTCTCCCCTCTCATGCTGTTTCTCTCTCTCTCTCTCTCTCTCTCTCTTTCTCAAATAAATACAATCTTAAAAAAAAAACAAAAACCTGGAAAAGTTTCTAGTGAGTGGAGTAGAAATTCCAGGGACCACCCAATATCTCAGCTCTTCCTGCCCAAAATCACCCATGAAATAATTTGTCCAGTAAGCCCAAAGAGAGAGATCGTGGCCCAACCTGGATAACAAGCAGCAGGTACTAAATGGGTACTTGGCCAGAGGTTTGTTGATCAGCTTAAAACATCAGTTAAAAGGGGAGAATCATAAAATAAATTATGTACACTCTTGAATGATTTTATTGTACCCTAAAATTTCCCATGTACATCCATTCACCAATCTTCAAATGTCAAACCCAGCTTTTTCTTTTGGGTTAAGAGTGTAATGATTATAATCTGCAAAAATCACATGCATAAGTCATTTCTCTGATGATCAGGTTTTCATACTTTAAAGTGGAATAAAAATGTAATGACTGAGATTTTTCTCCTATAGTTTTTTTTACAGATACTCTACATCTAATCAACAGCAATTTCTTGAGCAAATTCCCTTTTTTGAGTATTTCTAGAGTATTTACATAGTTTTCATAGAAATAACTCTTTTTTCACATTTATATTTTATCAGTTTGCAAGATATTTCATTACATGGTACAATTGCAATAAAAACTACAACTGCCATAAATTTGTTAACAAACACAACTGTCTTTTAGTCATACAACTCAACTTACAGGATCAAAAAGGCCCATGCTTATAGAGAAAGTTTATTAAGTTGTGGGTATCCACCAATATGTTTTACAGAGAATAGAGAACATCTAGAAATCTGACGACATAGTGAAGAGACTGTTTTAAAAGAGATTTCACTCTAGGTGATAGAGTCATGGAAATTATATGTAAAACCCCTGCATGACTCAGTTACTGGTTGGTTAAAATGGGCTGGCCATCAGGAACCCTGCACCTGGGAATGAATAGAGTTTACTTTGTCCAGGCAGGTCAGGAAGGTCTCCCTACTGTCAGCAGCAAATTATCCCGTATTCCATGGAGCATTTGTTCGCTTAGATGCCCTCTTCCTGCCAGCCCACTATAATAAGCACCCCCATACCCAGATCTACTAATGCGTCCCAGGTGATTGGATATCAGCCCTGTGTAGTATTCTGTCCTGATACAAGGGCGGTGATCTTCAGTCAGCCAGACTGCTGTTTTCTCTTCACGGGTATGGTTTCAACATGGAATACCCAGTAAATCATCTAAGATTTCCACCCTCCCATACTCCTATCAAGCAGGAGATGCATTACTCTTCCCCAGTGGTACTCAAATGTGCTTGAGCAGCCATGGGACCCTTAGAGCGGCCTTACTACCCACTCCCAATATATCTGTTGTTGATGTTCTAAACAGAAAATCTGAAGGGAAAGAAAGAGGGTAGAAGTCCTTGACCAGACTCTTTTATTGG